ATTCGGAGGACACGACAGGCTATTGGCCATGACATCTCCCACGGCTTAAACGCCTGGTTTAGCGACACATCTCGTCTTTGACCTAGCTATGGGCAAATGTTATTCCATCACATTTTTTCACCTGTCATCCACAACGGTCAGATTCCACTGGGCCGAAATCGGCTTCCCGGACTGCCGGCTTGGGCTCCCGGAAACCCTTGCCCGGATTCCCCTTTCCCAGACTTCATTGGATCTTTGCAGGTCTCGTCTGGGCGCGGTTTGTCTCCTGATCTTGGGGCATTTGTGCACTCAAGCCCCAGAGAGTTGCGACTTCCTGGAGTGGATCCATGGCGGGAGGGAAGACGCACAGATGGAAAAGCCAGCTGCAGCAGCGAAGACACTTGCCTTCGCAGGCTATAAGGGTCTTGTGACACTGTACCCTACAGTACGGGCAGGGCCGAGGAATGTTGAGTGACTGTATTTCGTGCATGTGGATTAGATTTTGCTACGCGCCAACCAACTCATCTGAGGTTCCTGCTGCATGCGCCGCTTCCAAACCTGCTGACTAATAAGCTGCTTACTGCAAAAAGCCGCATGTCCTCTCAAGATGCATAGCTGCTCTGGCAGTCTGGGTCCCCCACGCGTCCTGAGGTTGTTCCAACAGCTTGGTGACCTTGCGTAGGCTGATGTCTGCACTGATCATCTGTAACTGTAACTGTGCAACAATCGGTTCTGGACTGCCGTCGGCCTGCCTGCCAGCTCTGCGCCAAAGCTACCTGCATGATTATTGCGCGGCTTTTTGCGCGTCGGTCTGTTTGGTAGACCATGTTGTTGCACAGTTCGCATGTTGTTTCAACTTACCTCAACTCGGCATTCCAGATTGTCGGGCAAGTGCGCTTTATGTGTTCCTTGACTGACCTTGATTTAGATATACACCTGCGCAAAGCTGTGGGCTACAGAGCCCACAGCTACACGACCCGGCGGAGCCACCACGCACACGCAATTTTCGGACTGGACGATGAATTATTTTCATGATTATTGGATATTTCGAGTCCAGATCCTAGTGGATGATATTACCTTACTAGCGCAACTTGCAATTTTCATGACAGAACGTTTCGGTGGACGTGTCCACTTTGGTTTTGCATGAAAATTGACAAGTGTGACTTTTACGTGTGGTTGCCTTGGCTCAAGTTGTGCTTGCGTCGGAAAGTAAAGGAAAAACTTGCCTTCCCTGCCCGCCCTTGGTTCTTTTTCGGCAAATCCCTACCCATTCTGGGTTGTGCATGCCTGGTAAGATGGTCATTCCTCATCAACGTTAGTACGCACACACATTTTCTCAATGGCTGGATTCTGCGTAACCCACGCAGGCAACTGCTGTCCCTTGTTCAGGGGCGACATTTTTGATGCATAACGTCAAGCTTGCCCCTGAACCTCGCCCTTTCCAGCCCATTGAAAAGTGAGGTTCTACAGCCATGGCAAGCTTGTACCCTGGGGATACACCGTCACATAAGGGGTCAGGACCCAAGCCGACGCCAAGAAAAATCTCAATCTTTGCTAGCATCTGCACTCAGTCACACGAGTACCCTTCAGCTTGAAGTGCTTGGCGTGCAAAAATTGGGGCGATCTAGAAGGCCTAGAAACCTCTTAGAGTGTTTAATAAAAATTATTGAGTTCGAAAAACACATCTTCGGTTTTTCTACGTTGAAAAAACACATGTGCGGCGTTTATCTCTGCGCGTCGTCCTTTGTGAGTTGAAAAGACTTGTCTTCTTGTGCAGCAAGACAGTAGTTGCAGAGATATTGCACGCAGGAAGGATCCGAGACCCTTCACGAAGAGGGAACTTCACGCTAAAGGCTTCGAAGCCATCTTTGAAGTTCCCTCTCTGAAGCTTCCTTCAAGAGCTTGAAGCCCCCCTTCATTTTGGGCCTCGAAGCTTTTCAAGCCCTTCAAGCCCTTGAAGTCCCCCTTCAAGCCTCTTCAAGCCCTTGAAGCCCTCCTTCATGCCCTTGAGGCTTCAACTCCCCCTTGAAGCCCTTGAAGCCCCCCTTAGGTCATTTCCTAAAAAGGTATGTGGCAGCCAATTTTTCAAACAAAGATTGTTTGTTTTATTTGAGCTTCCAACCTGAAACTTTGAAAAGAAGAGTGCAGAGCTTCTTTCTTTCTGTGTTTTGCTGATTGGAAATTATTTCTTTGCTGAAACGGTCCGTTTTTGCTCATTTTGCTCTCATCACAGGTGGCAGAAGATTTCTGCCGAAAATCCCTTAAAACCGCATGTGTGTGCGCAAAACTTGGCTAAATGAGATATTTTCCAATACCAAATTCTAAAATTGTGGTAAGAAGCTTGGAATGATGCCAAAATTGTGTAAAAGTGTGCGCAAGTGCAAGCGTGCGCAAGTGTGCAAGTGTGCGCTTGTGTGCGCTTTGCTGCTGTCCGCGCGCGCGTGAGGTATTTTGCCTGTTATTGTTTCTTTTTCACGATTTTTGCTAAAAACCGTTAAAATCTTCAAAAAAGAAAAAAAACACCGAAAATCAACCGCCACGCGCGCACCGAAAGACATTTTGAGAGAAAAAGTAGTCTTATTCTAAAAAACAGAAAAAATGCTTTGTTTTTCCACCTCTATTGGAAATTACTCTGGGGGTACCTTCGCACGCAGCCGGTCTTGGGCTGATTTTGGCACCCTGAAACAGGGCCCTGCAAGCGTGCTGCTTGCAAGGTTTTTCGTGACCGAATGAGTCTGCGTATTATCTTTTCTTTGCGACAATAGAAGTAGATTCATAGATTTAAAAAACTTACCAAGTCAGGCATGATACCGGCCTAAGTTAAGTTTGCCCCTGCAAACTCCTGCACACTGGCT